TGGTGACACTTTGGTAAGCCAAGGCCACTCTCGTTTTTCTGGGGTGTTTTGGGAATGTTTCAAGTTGTCCAAATACGATTTTAGCGGTTCTGCTCAGAATACTTCCAAAGTCGTTATATGCTTCGCACTGATAGTACTCCGAATCGGTTGATGCCTGTGGTTGATGGATCACTAAGTTTCCTCCACTAATAGAAATTCGGCCGGTTGAGGAAAGTAGGGGTTCCACAAGAGTTCTTTTGGGTACAACAATGCTCTGACCTGATATAAGTCCTATCTTGTACCATCTATACTTTGGAGCCGGATTTCCATTGGCGAAGCAACCGAAGGTAACAAAGTTTTCAACAATGATTCCTGGGACAAACCTGAAAGCAATCATTGCAAAGTAAAACAGAAGCAGTAAAAGAAACCTTTATTTATGCATACGAACTGATAGAAAGCATGGTAAACGTCCATTTTCATAAACTTTTGGACCTACATTTTCTCTGTAAGGATAACCTGCTGCCAAATAAGCTAGGGTTTCTCCGAAGCATTCAACCCTTCACATTAAGAATTATGTTCAGTACCAGCCATTCTACGGGCCTCCGTGGCTAAGTGAATAATTTCCAGCTAATATTCCCTTAATCCTGTTCGAAAAAGCGTGGCATCAGCTAGCAGATATTTGTTTTCAAACAGGACATAAAACCACTTGTTAGGGGTCTCAGGAAATTTAGGCAGTTAAAATAATTTAATTGTAATTGTAAAGGGTTAAATGTGGGCAAACGGGGAAAAATAAATTCTTGGTAAAAAAGAAAATCAATTTTTTATCATTTGCAATCTGTAGATTATCAAGGGCGAAGATAGAAAGGACTTTTGGTAGGGGTTTAAAACATGCTTGAAAAATTACAGCCTACTTTCTCCTAAAACACACAGAAGGGTGCAGTAATATTCAGAAGAATGAAACGTGGAGTGTGAACCAGGATTTATGAATGTTAAAACGCCATTCGACAACGTTTAACTAATTAATTTACCAAGCATCAACGGGCTGTTGTACAAAACAAGGCCCTCTTAAGATGGAGTTCGAGTCGTTTTGTCCGTAGTCGATAGGGTTTGACTGTGGAAGAAGTTTGTTCGCGAACAGGGATTTGGCCTGGCATATATATCCACGTGCTAGAGTAGGGACATCGATGTACCAACCCCAAGAAGTTCCGTTAGTGCCATAAACTAGTTTATTTCGATCAGCGGGGTACGTTGTCTGATCAGCGGCAGTAGGTGGCTTGTCGAACCACAGCGAATATAGGTTTGGTGGAATATTTCGGGACTCCACGGGGTAACCGGTCCAGATAAATTCACCAAAAGGGGAAGTAAGCATTGTTCCCGCAGTGTACCATCTCATACTTTTTCACAAATAAAAATCAAGATCTCTTACGTCCTGTCTAGTGCGTTTGTTTGCAACCAGTTGCTAACAAAACGATGCTGCTCCATAGTCTGAATATTAAGCAGGAGGGCTCCACGGGACTAAAAAATCATGATAAGTTAAACTCATACGGTGCATCCTGTCTGTGCATTTACAAAATCAGCGGTTGGGAAAGAAATGAATACGTAACATGTCGCCTCGAATGAAATCCAGCCGTTTGGACAATCTTTTAAATTAAATACTAAGTAAAACCATACCGGACTGGCTAAGTCTGTCCTGCGGACACCCATGCCAGGGGTTTACATTTGTTATCCCGAAATAAAAGAGTGAAAATGCAAATACTGTCTGCGCTAGCCACAAGTGTCCCATAACAGATAAAAGTATTTCCCGTCAGGTTGAAGTTGTCACTATTTATTTGACAATCCCTTTGATACAATTAAACAACATGTAAGTATTCAGTACCCTTAATAGGAACTGCAACGGAATGAATGAATCATAATTTATGTTACAAGACTTACATTCGTAATTTTATTCGTTCGAGGATTAATGACTAAAAATTCGCAGCTTTCGGAGTTGTGCATGATTTTAGCAGAATCCGGATGGATGCGCAGTGTAATAGACCAAAAGTTTATGAGAGTCGTTAGTGTGACAGGAAACTACTTACTTTTTGTATTCGAGATCGAAATGCGGAAAGATTTATTAGGGAAAAAGCCACTGTCCATCCCTTACCAACTGCTGACTACTCTCGAATGACATTCATCGTAACTCCTCCCTGGCTCTCTACGTTGGCTACTTCCATGACCATTCGGGCAGTTTCCCGCGGTGATGCACTCACCACTTATTACAAAGATTTCGTGACGTTATCACTCCTCATTCCGACGTAGGTAACTTATCCCTTCGTCATATATTAGCAAACCTAACATAAGACTACTTCAATTATTTGTGCTCGGGTGAGCGCGATTAAATGTTGAATAATTCTGTCCAGCCTATCCTGCATCAGGGGTTACCATTTCAGAACTATCCTGTGTGTGTGTGTGTAACTTCTCTAATATCATCAGTAACTTCAACGGTAAGAGAGGCATGTGGGCTAAACAACACGAGTAATCACACTAAAAGTGTTTTGGAAACTAACGCATAATACATGATCCATGAATGAGAAATTCTGGCTACCGACAATTGTTTCGAACATGTTTTATTATGATTACTATAGAGAAAGGACAGATGCATGTGTATTATTGCAGGGAACAGGGTCAGCATTATAATAAATTGAGGGCTCAAACCGCCCAATATACGAAAGCCAAAATGTTGTCATTGACGACGGCCATCAAGTGGTAGGGCCAGAAACTACCCTATGTGAATCTTATATATTAAATGCAGTACATTTCGGTCGTCCTCGACTCTTCATCAAAGCAAAACTCTTGTGTGACAAATGAGCAACTCTTAGATACGTCAGCGTTTTCAATCAACCGATTTGCCCGACTGACTACTGACTGCATTAGTAAGGATATTCCAATAATCGAAATTAGGGGGCTATTAAACAAAACGAAGAAGGGAATTTGGACGAAAATCAAGTAATAATAATCAAAATAGTGGCATTTATCGAGGAAATGGTCTTTATAGTCGCGCAGAAATGTACTTTTAGGCATTCAGTGATGTTCTATCTATTATCACTCCAGACGGGAAACTTTCACACACCGCCGTTTTTTCAGTCTACATAAGCTGAAACATATCGGAGCTTCTTGAATGACATTCTTTGGGGCGTTCAAACAAGGGCCGTCACACTACACCGCAAACCGTCCAAAACCTTGTCACGTGGGAAGTTTGAAAAACGAGAATAACGACTCTGCAGAACAGATATGGCCATTTTCATAACCAATTAATTGCTCCTAAGGTTGTGCTGCCAAACCATCAACACAGCACAACACCAGCCGCTTTCTCGCTGAGGGGAAAAGAACATGTAGACAACGAGTGAGGAAATATTAACCTTGAAAATAGCATAGGTTTGACTGGGTCCCCGTGGCACAGAATCAAACAATAGCGGCCGCTTTCTCATCTTGAGACCTGAGGTATACTAGAGGGAAGAGTGAAGGAAATATTGGAAGGGTCATTCTGGGTAAATCTATCAGACAACCTATTTATAATCCCCCCTTAGTACATCCTTCCCACGGATGGAAGAATTTGGCCGGTGTGCCAACAGGCGGAACCGCCCGATGGCGGAGCACTAAATCGCCGATGTGGTAGGGGAGCCCGTGTGCCCGGCGGTCGAAACAGGTCTTCTGTCTGTCGTAGGCGTTGCGGAGTTGTGTGCGGGCCAGGTTGTGCGTGAGTCTTAGTAGCTCCTTTAGCTCTATCACGTAGTTGTCGGTTGTATAGGCCGTCGGTTGCTGCGCAGGGACGTTCGAGTCCGCCGGTAGTCGGAATTGGCGGCCGGTCAACATATAGAATGGGGCGTGGCCCGTTGAAGAGTGAATGGCGGCTCTGTAGGCCATCATGGCTAAGGGCAATTTCACGTCCCACTCGTGTGGGTGGTGGTCCTCGGCGAAAGCCCTCAGGATATTAATGATTGTTCGGTTTGTACGCTCCACCTGGCCATTGCCTTCTGGGTGGGTTGGTGTAGTTCGAGTCTTGTGGATGAGGAGCAGGTCACAGACTTCGCGCAGAAGGTGGCTTTCGAAGTTGGCTCCGCAATCGGAGTGAAGTAAGAAGGGTGCTCCGTATCGACAGTCCCATTCCTTTAGCAGCGCATTGGTGACCGAAGCTGCATCTTGTCGATGTAAGGGGATGGCCTCCGCCCACTTCGTAAAATAATCGATCAACACTAAGATGCAGCGATGGCCGGAAGTTGTGTAAGGCAATGGGCCGACTATGTCTACACCCACCCGTTCAAAAGGAAAGCCTGTAATCATAGGCTGTAGGGGTGCACGATTTCGTGGGATGGTGCCCTTGAAGGAGGCACAGGTGGAGCACGCGTTACAGAAGTTGGGGACCTGCTCTCTGAGGCGGGGCCACCAGAAGCGCTGCCTAGCGGCCCCTTCCGTTTTAGTCACTCCTACATGTCCCAGCTCGTGGTGTAAGTCTGTGAGGACAGGCATGACGAGGCTACTCGGGACAACTAGCCGCGGACGGGTGGATGTTGCGTCTTTAAAGAAGAGTAGTTCATTCTCAACGAACAGGTTGGCCCATTGGTGGCACAAGAGGCGGGCGACCTCCGAGGTGCCGCGAAGTTCGATCTCTGTTGGTCTGTGTTGATCATGCAACTGGTGGTCGTAAATTATTGCGGTGTCCGGATCGGTACTTTGTGCCACTGCCCAATGATAACGAGTGGGTTCGCTGATTGTAACCGCCGCGATGTGTTCATCCGTTACTTCTGGGTCTGCTGTGCCGGCCTCATTTGGACGGCGAGAAAGGGCGTCCGCGTTGGCGTGTTGGTGGCCTGGTCGATATTGACAAGTGAAATCGAATTCTTGCAGTAGTTCTTGCCATCTCGCCAGCTGGCTTCCGGCTTCTTTCATGTTTTGTAACCACTGTAAGGCCTTGTGGTCGGTGCGGACAATGAAGTGCTTTCCCACTAAGAATGGTTTGAATTGTTTGATAAACGTGATCAGTGCTAGCAATTCTCGTCGGTAGGTGCAATAGTTTCGCTCGGGCTTCGATAGGGTTTTGCTCGCAAAGCAAGTCGGTCGCTCGGCCCCTGTCTCGTCGGCTTGTGAGAGTACGCCCCCGATCGCGAACCCGCTGGCGTCGCTATCGAGTATGAAGGGGGAGCCTCAGGACTCGTGTCAGGTAGCATTAATATCGGTGCCGAAGTGAGTTTTGCTTTTAACTCATTGAAGGCCTGTTGACAATCGTCGGACCCTGCGAATGGGCGACCTTTTTCGGTCAACCGATGGAGGGGACGTGCGAGCTCCGCAAAGTGGAGGATAAAGCGGCGATAGTAGGAGGCCAGGCCGAGGAAGCCTCTGACTTCAGTTGGGGTCTTCGGCGTAGGCCATGATCTGACTGCCTCTACTTTTTCCTGTGACGCCTGAATGCCTTGCGGGCTGACTTCGTGGCCGAGAAATGTGACTTTCCGGCACAGAAACTTGCACTTTTGTGGATTTAAACGCAAGCCGGCGTCGCGGAGAGCAGAGAGCACTGCGGCGAGGTTATCGTTATGTTGCCGGGCCGTGCGTCCAAACACGATCACGTCGTCGAGGTATATTAAACAGCTGTGAGGGTATAAGTGAGCCAGGACGGACTGCATCAGCCGTTGGAAGGTGGCGGCTGCGTTGCAGAGCCCGAACGGCATGGTTTCGAATTCAAAAAGCCCTTGTGGTAGTATAAACGCTGTTTTTGGGCGGTCTTTAGGTTCTACTTCAACTTGCGAATAACCGGACTTCAGGTCCAGCGTTGAGAACCATTGGGGTCCTGCAAGCGCTTCGAGTGTGACATCAATTCTTGGAAGTGGAAACGAATCGCGGGTGGTGACCGCATTAAGTCGCCGATAGTCTATACAACATCGGAGTTTGCCGTCTTTTTTGGGCACTAATGTGACTGGCGATGCCCACGGCGACTTGGAGGGGCGGATTATCCCTGTGGTCAGCATCGTTTGAATTAGGTCGCTCACCTCCTTCTGAAAGTGTGGTGGAATGCGACGTGGTGGTTGCCACAGAGGTTTCGACGTGCCGCTGTCAATGCTGTGACGGATGACAGCGGTGCGGCCTAAGGAGGTATCGTCCCATGCGAAAACATCGCTACACGCAGTCAGAAGTGACTTCAAGTCTGCCTTGTCGGTAAGAGCGATCGTATCATCTGGGGGTAAGACCGTGTCTACACTTGTGGACGGTAAGGCTACCGACACTGCGATGGCCGCGCAGGTGGCTTCTTCGTCAAACTCGGCGGCTGTTGGGTGGTTAGGCGGTGGCTTATGCCCTAAGGATAGTATGCGCTCTTTGACCATAATACAACAGTTGTGCTCAGAAAGGAAATCTAGGCCGAGTATCATGTCCCACGACATGGTGTGGGTGCCGACAAACGCTTGTTCCTTAACGCTGGTTGGGAAGGAGATGGGCAGTCGAACCATCCCTAAAGTGGTCATGGGTGACCCGTCTGCGGTTTTGAGGTGTGGTGAGCGACCGCTTTGTCGGGCGAGATTAAGCCACTTAGAGCCTAGTACGTCTGCCCTAACTAAGGACGTGGTGGCGCCTGTATCGACTAGAGCCTTAATGGGTTTGTCGTCTAGGTAAATCGCCGTGTAAAACGGTAAACTATGTGACGCGTTATCAAAGCAGACGGGAATGATGTGGTTACCTTCCTTGGTAATCGCCGCCGCAGTACTGTCTCTATCTCCCCGGAATTGTCTTGGCCCAGTGTTGAGCGGTGGGGGTCGATAGGGCGTGCGGAACGTGGGGTGTCGGCTGTCGCGGTTGAATCGTTGTGAAGGCTGGTAGTGCGGTCTGGTCCAGGTGTTGTACTGTTGCCTGCGGTCTGGCGTGGATTTCCACGGTTCAGCCCGGGGGTGGTTATCGCCTGTTGGGGCATCGGTTGTTAGCATGCGGGATGCCCGCTGGATGGCTTCGTTGAGGTCGCCCGGTGGCAGAATTCTCAGGGAATACGTCACCTCCTGGGAACCGAGTCCGCGTTTGAAGTGGTAAAGGACCACTTGGTCTCTATCAGCCGCTGAAAGTGAGGGGAAGGCGTCGCGTGCGAGCCGAAGTAACGCGTCGGCGAACTGCCGAGGGGTCTCATCGCTCCTTAAGGAACGTTTTAGTAACTGGTCAAGGGCTTCCTCAATGGTCAATGGGGGTTGGAATGGCCTCTGTAATTGGTCGCACAGCACCTGGAAAGGGGTGTGGCGGGTGAGGCCGGCATCGAGTGCCTTGTCCATCTGGTCGTCTGCAAGATGTTGAAGCACCGTACGGCTGCGTTCGTTTTGTGGAACATCGTCTAGATGGAACTTAAGGCGGCGCAGCCAGCACGAAAAATCTTTGCTCCCGTCGTAGGGTTTAAAAGAAGACGGAACAGGGTTTGTTGTACTGTTTTTAGGCTGTGGGCTCGGCTCGTTCGCTGCCACCATTGTAGCGTCCGACCTCGATAGTGGTTCGGTGGCCGAGGGTTCACTGGTGTCCTTCTGGGTCGCCTGAGACGGAACGGCGAGAACTGGGGCACTCTGTCCAATTTGTGAACCGTTAGGATCGTCCTTCCAAGCGTTCATTATCGAATAACAATCCTCAAGCACACGATAAGCCGCGTAGTACTCCAAGGTTTATTGAGGAAGGGCAAAAAGGGAGAACGTAAAACGAGGGCAAAACAGAGGGAGGAATCTATTAGTCCAACAAACGTTAGTTTCACAGTTGTCCAGGGAAGGTGGAGTTGGATGCTGCCACCAGGGAGGGGGAGTCTTCTTCCTCGCGCAACTCAACTGAAAAACAAGAGAATGCAGACAGATAGTGTCCAGACACCAGGCACCCTTGCTATCAAAACTAGCGCCCTTGCCTATTAAAATAACCGTTCCAGTGTGTCTGCTACAGTAATTTCACTTTTGGCCGCGACTCCACGCCGTTTGCGCTCTCCAAAGAAAGGATTGGAACTGGTTCAGCGCGTGATTGCACATTCTTCTCAGGGACCTTTGTCCGATTTCACGGAAGAAACTGAACGGCAGACCCCAGTAGATGACTTTAATCTTAAAAATAGAGTAAATAAGGAGCGGAGACTGCTAGGGACGTTTCTCTCAGATAGGAATTCTGTATCTTAATGCATAAACAGCACATAGAAGCCTACTTAAGCAACTAATCCCCAGGACATGACATTATTTCAAGAAAGGCCTAGTGGGCCGCGCCGAAGAACATCCGAAGTCATTATATGGTTACATAGGAAAGAGCACAAGAAACACAGACCCAATCCTTTTTTAAAACTAATGAAGATGGAGTAGAGGCAGTGCATATTTCGCAAATTTCAAGCCCGTCTTTATGAAGGAAACTGCATGTATCCCTCCGGACTGCGACTTAATGGGAGGCTCAGCGGTTAAGGCCGTTTATTTCACCGAAGCTCTCGTTCGCAAAGAACTGTTAATCCCGACTGAGTTAAAATCACCTGGAACGGATGATGTACTGCCAAAATTGCTAAAGGAAGTTGCCGGAGAACTATCCAAACCGCTGTCCATGCTCTTTCAAGCACCGTGCGAAGCACGCTATTTACCCGCCGGCTAGAAATCTGCATGGATTACACCACGATGTAAAGGGGGTAGCAGGGTCCCGGCAAACAACTACAGACCAATCAGCCTCATTTCAATCTGCTGCAAAATTATGCAAAAATAATTAAGAAATAATCGCCGAGCACGGATTCCATAGGTGCAAATCATGTGTAACAAACCTGTACCATTGTTTAGAACGCTGGACCCGGACAGTGCACGCTTTCCATATCGACTTTAAAAAAGCACCACAAAAAGGAACACATCAGCAATTCCTACACAAAATAAGCTGAACAGGCATTAAAGGGTAATCTCTGGCGGGGCATTCAGAGCTTCGTAATCGGCCGCTCACAAATTATCCATGTTGGTGACAGGTAGTCGGCGGAGGTGGCCTTTGTTCCTTAGGGCTCTGTTCTTGGTCCTACGCTATTCATTATGTATATCAACGACTACTTCAGTGAACTGGACTGTGGCGTTGCCATTTTTGCGTTGGATCATCATCTAAACGGAATTTGATGAAGACCGTTTGCAAGCAAATAGTCGCAGGACTGGCTTTTGCCGGTTAAATTGACTAAGTGCAATATTCTGCGAGTTGGTTGTACCTCATCTCTGACTCGCAGAGTTTGCCACCTAAATGGCATACTACTAGGGGAGGTAGATGCCCAAAAGAATATGGAAGTGTGGGTCACGGCTTCAATTAAACCGTCACTGCGCCGTTTTAAGGTAGCCACTTCCGCGATGCCAGCCCTGTACCTAGTCAAGTAGGCTTTCTCTGCCTTTAATGAAGGCCTCAGCGGCCTTGAGAAAGTTTAAGGGTCTGTAACCAATCTCGTCAGTGGACGGGTTCTCTACCCTACGAAACACGGTTATCCAATGTAGATCTCTCTCCTCCGAGTTACAGACAGCCCAGATGCGACCTGATACACACATTCTGTATCATGCGCGGTCAGGACCGCTGTATGTTATCCGAAGACTTGTTTGAATTGGCGACCGCAATTTACTCCCGAGACCATCCACTCTAACTACGTGTGGCCGGCGCCAGGCTGGACTTATGGGAGTTTTTTTCCAACAGAGTGTCTGAGGCTTGGACTGCTTTGCCTGCAGATATCGTTATATCCACAGTCGTCAAAGTTTTTAAGCGCGAGCTGGATCATTATACCGCGGCAATCGGCCGATGTCTTGACGCTCCATATAACAATTTATCATTGTTATAGTATTACTGTATATATCTCAGCGGCGGTAGTTTTTCAATTCACTTATTGTCCCAAATTCGTTACACGCGAATACCGAAATTCACATCGACACCTTCAGATAACTGAGACCGTTCCGATTATTCCTTAGCACAAGTATACACACACTGATTACCCTACGATGTACTTAGTACTGTCAGTGTTTAAAAAACCTGGAAGTATTCGTTTATCTGCACAGTTCTGTGAATTCTTCTGTAGCAGTTAGATGTTTTCGTTTACCAACTTTTAATTATCCATTCCTTCCATGTAAAAAAAACGGAGTTCAAAGGCGCAGCACCAACATCTCCCTCAGATAAACCGAACCGAAATGAACTAGACGTCTGTCGATATCATGGGGGCCTGCGCGAGATTGTTGGCGTGCTGCTTATTGGCGGTTGTCACGTCATACTCGTGCCTGCACAGGCGGGACCAGTTGGCGTCGCGTACGCTACATCATAATGCGTGGTGAATGTCCGCATCGCATGTGCGGCAGGGAATACTCGTCAGTGTAATGTTGCACAGCGACCACCAACCATATCGGTGTGACCCACTACTGTGCATGCAGAAAGTCATATAGCCTATAAAACGCATGAATTCACCATTTGGATTTTTGTTTGGAACTTATTTATGGGTGGTTGTACCAACGGTTATAGAGTGCTTTGTCGAGAGTTTGCTGTAACTAGGGGAAAAACCCTTAAATTCACACCCATTATCCATGTAAAGGACCAAGTGTACTACAGGCAGGTCTGATTTGCCTTGGAGCACAAATCTGGGGTCTTGTAAACGGCCTTAGAACAAAGAGCGCTGAAAAATCGAGAAAACCGTTGCGGGCGACAACAACGCAGACCAAAATTGGGTTTGTTTGTCATTTTCGTCGTGGTCGGTCAGACATGTTCCAACCTTCGTCAAGGAAGAGTCGAAGCTCAAAAGCAGACTCCTGAATTACTGAGCACTCGGGCCGAACTACCTTCCAATAAATCCTTGACGCTTCCAGACGAAATTGTGAATATTCTAAATAACTTGGAAATGGCGATACAAATCGCCCCTGACTGCGGAATGGGATTCACAAGACCCCTTTTGGCCCCGGGGCAGCCGTAGGGAGGCAATCTTGTGACTATTTGGTAGAACACTTGACCTAAGCACCTAGTTCCAAAACGTCAGCTTTGAGCTACGAGTTACACGAGCCCGGTTTTGAAGCATAACCGGTTTCTTCTGTTTATTTCGGTTTTACGTTTGGACTATTGGGTAAAACCACCGAAAGCCCTGTTGTTAACATGCTTTTACGAATAAGTGCATATACACTGTAAAGGATTGTCACTGTAAAAACGGTATTTGAAAAATTATGGAGCTTTGTTTGTGATGCAAATTCCCGCGTGGAATTGATACGGTCTACAGTTAAGTTCCAATTTGTCGAGGGTTAACAAAAGACAGACACCATTATTCAAGGGTTTACTGGGAAGCTGCATTGATGTCACCTTCACACCTGTCTGTCTGTCTGTTTTTTGAATAGTTCGGGCCGAAGTTTCGACATGGACACATTCGTGCCTATTTTCATGGAGTACCCACGAAGTCGCAGCGAAAGCAGCCACAAAATGTGCCCAAACCGCAGTCCTTTTTAAGGCCGTTCACCACCTTATAAAGAAAGATCGGATCGCTCCTTTTATTGCCTGTGTCTTGTAGGGAATAAATTAGTGAGTTAAATCCTTCTGTGTAAGATCGGTAGTTGAAACCTTTCATTGAGCTCGTCACACGACGTTGCACTTGTTCAGGACATATTTAATCATTGAGAGCCATGGACAAGGATAAACGAAGGTGCCGTTAACCTTTCCAAAAACTTTTTTGAGGGCTGCAAACATCTTCGTAATTGAATGTAACACATGCATGACGTTTTCTGCAGCTTGAGGCATAAGAAGAACGGTCCCAGATTGCTTTGTATCTAATCACCCCGATCCTTTTGTGAAGGTTCTATGAGACGCGAAATGCCTTTAAGACGATATGCCCTCACGTTTTAGTCTGGACGGCGGTTGTTAGGACGGAAACAAAGAATGGTACCTTTTCGGACACTAAAATCCAACAGCCGTAGTTCAGACCATGTTAACGAATTTGTTGGCCGAGCTGAACGGTCCAGTTGGATTTGGTTGTCATCTTAATTTCGAGTTAAGTTTCGCTGTCTCTGCACGGTACAGTTATCTACGTCTTGTACTTCTTTGAAGATTTAAGTGACTGAAGTTCATTTAATTTGGGCCTTGCAGTGCCATCTAGTATGTTTATGTAACAGTTTCATTGAAATCGCACCAGAATAAAAACCCTGCATCATTCCTCCTACAGGGAGAATATAAATTAGATTCTGTCACTGTAAGCACGTATTGCATGACGGTATTATTCTGTGTATAAAACCACACGTTTATGCACAACCATATAGAAATTCGTCGCGAATTTTAAGGCACCTGATCGATTAAGTATGGTATAGTTCGTTAATTTCCATTTTACAAGTGTTGAGCAGACGAACTGAAGCAATGGTACAGGGGCGAGCATCCCTCGCATTACGAAACACACTGATCGTGGAAAAAACGCTGCAAACTATAACATCGCGAAAAAGTTTGTAATTCATTTGATGAGATTTACTGGTGCGCCTGGATTGTACCAACAGTGCACAAGCAACGGTCAACGAGTGTAGGCAGAGGCAATCGACTAGTTTTGAGTAGGGGCGTGTTCTTGATAGTTTTTTGATTGAAAAGTCACCTGGTGAAGAAATCCCTCCCACGCGCTTTGACTGTGAGTATACGTTCTTTTTGA